CCCCCGACATTAGGTCCTCATTTTTCCCCTCCCTCCCCGCTCCCCCCTCCCACATGAGCCCTTGATAGTTTATAAATTGGTATTTTGTCATATCTTGCTTTTTATCTGCATTCTTCCCCATCCTCACTCCTCATTTTATCTTTCTATTCTCTAGCCCACATTTAAATCTGGCAGAGTGGGCAACCCTGCACCCGCAAAACCTCCTCCATTAGCAGTGCCTGACTATACACCTCATTGGTTGGTAGTACATTCCCCAGCAGAGCCAGCATTTGTTCCCAGTGCAAGCCTGGTTGATGGCCCCACATTCACAAGTACTGAGCAATTTAGGGGTTTTATTTGTTTTCAATGCCACCACCCTGCTTCCACAGTCAATGGCCATCTCAATCCTTATGTAAGTGCTCTGTGTTCCTGTTGCAGCCACGTTTTGTGTCTAACACTGTACCATTACTGTACCATTTAAATTTTCTTTTTAAATTTCATTTTCCCTTTCTTTTTAATTCGTTCCAATTCCCCCATCTTCTGTTTTTTTCTTGGGGGTCTTGCTATCTCCGTCTCTTTTTTGAATACACCAACTTTCAAGTTCAGTACAATGTATGCTCCTGAGAAACAATGTGACTCCATTACAGCCGTGTTTGGTAAATTTCACCTGTGCCAATACAGTGCCACGTTTGTTGTTGTTTTTACCTCCCTTTTTCTTACTCTCCCCTTCTTCTTCTTTTACTCTACTGTCCCCCATACTCAGCTGACTCTTTTGAGCTATACCCACCACAGCTGCTTTCCTATTCATCCTCTGTGCAAGGGGCACCACCTGCCCCAGCAGCAACACCTGCATCAGTGACACATAGCTGTCAACACCTACCCACACTTACCTCAGCTGCTCTAATAACCTGCAATCAGAGACTCACGCTCATACTGTCCCCTGCTTAAAAATCCACCCAGAGACATACGGTGAGTGTCCAACAGCTGCCAAACTAGCGTAAGAATAGCATGCCTGCCCTTTTGCCTGGATACACAGAAAATAAACAAAAAAAACAGGATGAAGAAAACTAGCATATACTCAAATCACTACAGTAACATAATAATGTCATAAGGGCAGCAGACAGCATCTTATGGCTGTCACGCAGACATATAAGATGGCCAAAGCCACCGAAACACAGGGCCAGGAAATCTCTGGAGGAGGAAATACTGTTGGAATTACTTGAAAGGGGGCTCAGAAGATTTCTATTTACACCCTTTTAGTAATTTAAGTAAGAAATCAAAGAAACCTCAGACAAAATTCCAGAACAATTCAGAAAAATACAAATACAAGAAAAAAATCTGAAAAATAGTTTTAGAAACTGTACAGAACAACAAATAGAAGTAGCGAATACAATGTCAAAACTTCAGAAATAGAGTAACATGTTGGAAAGATAAAAGAGTAAAACTCAATTGATGAGGGGGAAAACAGCCAAAGTAAAGAAAAAAATCTCTTAATATTAATTGATTAGGGGAAAACACAAAAAAGAAGAAACCCTAAAAATATGTGGGGCAACATCAAGAAAACTATTTGATAAATTATCAGAATTCTGAGAGAGAGAAATATGGTTGAAGATTGGTTAGAAGAAAATTCATATAATATCAAGAAGATAAGAAGATACACATTTATGAATCTCAAGGAACCCCAACTGTGACAAGCCACAAAATAAAATCATTAGAATAATGATCAAACTTACCAGAACTAAAGACAAAGAGAGATTCCTTACAACACCTCTAGTAAAGTAACGTTACCTACAAAGGAGAACCAGTAAGACTAAGGGATGATAGAGTAAATCAGAAAGGACTGCTACAAATCCATACATAATTTTATTAAACAAAAATATGAAACAGTGAAAATAATCTTTCTTTACACAGCCTCCATCTAAGTTTATATATTTCTGAGGTCACTGTGATAATCACTTTATATTTATGATCTACATTAAACATATCAAAATGTACTGTATATTACTCTTACAGGGATGATTCTGACAAGGTCCCCAGCTAAAAGAAAAACAAGATCATATCTGAGCATTGTAATGAAGTGGGGGAAAGACTCCTTATTTCACAGCATGGTGACAAAGGCATTTTAACCAACAGAATGTTTCACTGTCAAAGTGTTCAAAGTCTCCTGACACAGGCCAAGGTCTACATTATTTACTTTATGACTGCCTTCAAACACCACCTAGGTTGAAAACTCAAATTACTCATACTACACTAAAATGGAGAATTTCTTTGAACGCTAGTAATTATAATAATAATTGTCCCTCACTGCTGTTGTGTGTTTTGCATACATTGATAAGCCAATCCTCTCTAGATTTGTCCATAACCATTTTTGCTATAATCCATAATCTTCATCAGTAAGTACTTCAAGTCCTGCTTAAACAGTTCTGAAACAGCACGGTTGTGCCATCTACATAGTGCAAATTGTTAATTCACCTTCCTCCAAACAAGATGCCACATCATATAGATCAATTTCTCAGCTGATCTGCTTAGCTTTCAGATTAAATTAGTATGAGGAAAGAATACAACCCTCATGTACACCTTTCCTGATTTTAAACCAGGAAGTATTCCCTTGACCTATCTGAGTAAGCACCTCTTGGTCTATGTGTAGATTCCACATGAGCACAATTATGTTTCCCATTCTTTACAATGCTGTCCATACCCTGTACCCTGTAATGATGCACAGTAAAAAAAAAAACTTTGCATCGCCAATAAAAAACAGGTAAACATCTTTCTGGTATTCTTTGATTTCAGCCAAGAGCCATCTGATAGCAGGAATGATAACCACTATTCTATGACATCTCATCAATACAGGTTAAATTTCTGGCAATTCTCTAGCAATATACTGCTACAACTGTTCTTGAATTACCTTTAGCAAAATTTTATGTGCATGTTCTATAAGCATATTATTAAATAACTATTCTGTTGGGTCACCTATTTTTAGAATAAACATGAATAAGAATCTCTTACAGTTAATTGGCCAAGTTAAAAAAACAATTTGGGGGTGGTTTTAAACTCACTGCCATTAAGTCAATGCTGACTATAGCAACCTTACAGGACACGGTCAAACTGTCCTTGTGAGTTTCTGGACCTATTACTCTCTCCGGGAGTAAAAAGACCCATTTTTCTCCCATGGAGTGGCTGGTAAGTTTCTAACTGCTGACCTTGAAATAAGCAGTCCAGCACACAACCACTATACCACCGGACTCCTCAGTAGCAACCTTCCAAATTTCTTGGCATTGGCAAGGGTAGAGCTGGTGGAAGCTACCAGTGCCCAGGTCTCAAGAAGCTGGCTTAGAAGTGCTAAGAAGACCCAAAAGTGTTGCTCACAGCAAAAAAAGAAAAGAACAAAATGGATGTCAGACGAGACCCTGAAACTTTTTTTTTTTAATAAAATAGCAAAAAGAAGAAATTATAACAGAAAAGATGAAGAGATGATTACAAAGGGTGGCTCAAGAATATTAAATACTATGATGATGACTTTAGTAAACAAGGTGACTCGGGCAGACATATTTTGCAAGTCCTCTTTAACAAAGATGTTATGAAACAGACACAAAGGAAAAATCTGGAGTCCAGTAGCGCTGAAGAAGAAACAAAAAACAGCTTGGTAAGCTGAACAATAACAGGACAGGGACATTTTGAGGTGGAACTGAATCAACCTCAGTTTTAAATGGCACCGTGTGCAAAGGAGGTCTTGGAAAATACTGACATGCCAGGCAGTAACTACAGGGCCCTGCTTATTAGCAAGTGCAGAGCTGGTGGAGGTTATCAGTGCCCAGGACTGGTTTAGAAGTTACATTTTCAAGTGGTGGAGCAATGGGGTACATAAATTTGTGGGATATTTTTGGCCCAAACTACCAGTCCAGGGTCACTTTTGAAAGTGGCTCAGTGACTGTAGCACTAAAATTCATGGGGCCCTAAGATCTGGCACAAACAGGCAGAATAGAACCAGTTTTGACAGTGGCACCGTGGCCATGCTCCTCAGCTCTGGCAACCACAAATTTGTGGGCTCCTCAGCTATAGGAACCATAAATCAGCTCTGTGAACCACAAATTTGTGGGCTCCTTGACTCTAGGCCCAAAGAGATGGCTTAGAGCACACATTTAATGGCTCCACAGCTCTAGGCATGAACATGCCAGATTAGGGCTTTTTAAAATAAAAACTGCAGAACAGCAGCAGGGGCCCTGGACCAGAATATGCTAGTTTCTGGTTATGTTTTTTAGACCAGCAGAGCAAAGGGGCATGTATCACAGGGTACACTCTTATATTGCACCCAGAAATGAACTCTGATAAGCACATATTGTTGACCAAACAAGAGAAAGTAACTGCTGGTTCTAGGGTAGTTCTTTTTTCATTTCAACTGACATCTATTTATTTTTTACTATTATTTTTAGCAGTTCCAAAACTGTCAGGAGCTCTATGGAAGAAAAGACCTGACAATCTGATTGTTCCTATAAATATTACACCCTAAGAAACCCTATGGAGTAGTTCTACTTTGTTATATATGGTCACTATTAGTCAGGATCAACTCAATGGCTCCTATTAATGGCTCCCAAACCTATTACTACGGTGTAACGTAGGTCAGAGTAAAATTGGATCTCAAGATGTTTAGAATGAGAATTGTCAAGTTCTCAAAATCTATTTATGTAGTTTAATATGCAGATGTTGATAATGGTACATAATACAACAAAAAATGCACAGTATGAGAGGATAAACCATAATTAATTCTTAATTAAATCTACTTAAAACATGCATATAACATGAAATTCATAAAAACAAAAGTGGATTAGTTGTATAAGTGTGAAAGAATAATAGCTATTTTTTCAAACCTTCTCATAGTTTGGAATTATTTTCTTAAGGAAATAAGCGGGCAATAAATGTACAAATGTGCTTCACACAATTGATGTATGTGTGGATTGTGATAAGAGTGGTATGAGTCCCTAATAAAATAATGTTAAAAATAAAAGGAAGTAAGCATACCTTACCTTATCCCAGAAATCAACCAAGGCCGTAAAGTCCCATTTCTTAGAATATGCCACATTGTATTTCAGTATAGCATCCTATGGAAAAAGCATAAATAAAATCTCATGATAGAGACAAGTATGTACTACATTTCTGAGGGCGAGACAAGCTGCTTCCCACAGTGAGCTACTCCTTGTGTGCGATTATGAAGATGTAAAATGCACATTCGTTTATTTGCTTAAGAAAATGAGATTAGAAAAGTCAATGGGGAAAACATAATTGTACTACAGCATGCATATGCATTCTGTACAGGAATGATATATTACTTCAATCAGGCAAAAATAGGATCTTTAGGGAATAAAAACAAAAACAAAACTTAGTACAATGTTCTCCGAAGGGACATTACTAAAAGCAAGGTGGGTTCAAAATTTTCACAGAGAAACTTCATTATCTTCCCACTCCATTTTTCAGTGAACTTTCTGAAGCCCTTCTTATACAAATGCATAGTGTATTTGTAGCACTGAAACTTCATGGGGATAAGGAGAAAATTAGAAAAATATCTACAAAGGTACTGTAGAGGAGGGTAATAATAAAAAAAAGGATTGGGAAACATTAAAGCATGAGTCTTTCCCCTTTAATATCAGCTATTTTTATAAGTAACATATAAAAGTATCATCAATAAACAATTCACAACCATTAACACTGGAATACTGCATGGTTTAAAATCAGGAAAGGCATGCGACAGGATTATATCCTCTCACCAAATATTAAATAGCAAAGTCCATTCCCAGGTGAATGGATAAACAATGCAAATACTAGAATATTTACTATTCACTAATAAAAAGTAATGGACTACTGATACAGAGAGGAATCTCAAAACTCTTCATTCTGAGTGAGAAAATCCAAACAGCAGTAATATAGTACAACAGGATACATACTGTATTACTCTGCTAATGTAAAATACAAATTATATCTATAGTGAAAAAAGCAAATCAACAGTAGCACCACGTACAAAAAAGGGACTGTCTAAAAAGGAGCAGAGGAATCTTTAGGTGACATCACGAGTAAAAGTACACTGTCGAAACTCCTCCAACAACACAGTTAAAAAGAAGCTCTTAAAGGTAATGACATAATTACGTATTTGCTTCATCATACAATATACCTAAAATAGTATCAAACTAATAATTTAAAACACAACTAAAAAATCTACTGGTAATAAAACTAATAAATACAATCTTTTTATTTTTTATTTTTGAATCAAGACATTCTGTATAAGAGAATATTATAAATAAAATCAGTTTAAGTTAAAAGAAAAAAGCTCTTATAAAGATTCTTATATGTAAAAATTCTTCAAACCTGATAAGACAAAGACATTTTAAATAGTATTTGCCCTCTAATTTTTAAACAGGGTTTTATGACTGTCATTAACTCCTAACTAATATTATTTTTACTTCAGTCTTCAAGTTTCTAACTTATCAGGTCTCTTCTCATTAAAAGCACTGTGCTATTACGTATTTTTAGCTATCAACTATTAAAAGACTCATAAGTACAATTAAAGCACAAAGAAGCCCACTGTACAACTTATCAGAAGAATCATTTATAGATACATAACTTTAAATCAACTTAAAGGATATCATTCCTTTCTTGAAATTTGAAGTAGTTTAACTAATTTTATTCTAACAGATGCCATATAAGCAGTCAAAACCCATTATATTCAGTAACAAAGATTTAACGTTTTCCTCTCCCTCTCTCAGCAAAGTTAGCTAGTATCATAGACAAATAAAAGATAATCTGGAGGGAATTCTCAATCTACCATTAAATGCCATATATATTTGTGTATACGCCAAGTTTTTCAGCACATTTTTAATACAATGTTTGTGGTAAAATTAGGTGCCTTGGCTGATAATTCAGGTTGGCTTATATTTGGGCACGTGTGGTAAGCAAGAAAGGGAAATTCAGATACAGAAGTTACACTTTCCTAAAGTAATCATGGGCTTCTATGGATAGCTTGAGGTAAGGTATAAATAGAATTTAGAACCATTCTTCGGTTTATGTTTGCAGAAAACCATACAAAACTTGTTTAAAATAAGCCCTGTTTACAAGGCTATAAGGGTCTTAAAAGAGTATCTCTCAAATAAAGGAAGTGTTTTGAGGTGGTCTGTTTGCATTTATGAATTTATAATTGGGGTTTTGGAAAACAATGGTTAAATGCCAACACACAGTACAGAAATAAAAACTAGGTTCTTAAATAGATAAAAATGGTGAAAAGACTGAGCCATCATAACACACAATGCAGAACAGGTATGTCAAGGAACCGTGGTGAAAAAATGGTTAAGTGGCAGTTCTACTATGTCAAGTAGGGTCACAATGTGTTGGCATCACAATAACATAAGTATGTCAACATCCAAACAGTCTAGATCAGTGGTTCTCAACCGGGGGGGACACGACCCCTTTGGGGGTCAAATGACCCTTTCACACAGGTCACCTTTCCAATGGTCTTAGGAACCAAGACACCACTCCTCTATCTGTCTCCAGGTGGGTCCACCCACATGCAGATAGGCCCACATATGGGGGTTACCACAACATGAGGAATGGTACTAAAGGGTCAAAGGGTCGCAGCATTAGGAAGGTTGAGAACCACTGGTCTAGATCAGAGTAGAATCTATTTGAAAGCTGATGTATATATTAGATTAGATAGATAGATAAATAGATAGATAGATAGATAGTTAGATGATAGATAGATAACATCTTTGCACCCAACAGTTCATAATTAGTAATGAGTTACTAATTCAATAATATTATATTAAATTACAGATTTAAAGTATTTAAATATTTATTTCTTTATATGTATTTTCAAAATGTTTCTCAGCATATTATTTTGGGGTTTGCATCAATAGTTATAAAGAATTGCTCCAAAAAGGGAATTCAGAACACAAATTATTAAAAATTATAATAGCAACATATGTACAAATATGCTTGATGCAAGTGATGTATGGAATTTTGTAAGAGCTATAAGAGCCCCCAATAAAATGAGTTAAAAAGAAAGAAAGAAAATTATGTTCACTGTGATAATGAGCACACATCAATGATTGTACATCACGATTAAGACCAGAAAAAATAAAAAATGATACACTTGTACAAACACTGTAACTCAAACTGCCACTGAGTTGATTTGACCCTATAGGTACCTTTTGATGCAGATTGTATTCCCAGGTAGGAAAGCCTTCATGCTCCAAAGAGAGGAATGTAACACAGCAAATACCATATATACTTGTGTATAAGCTGAGTTTTTCAGCACATTTTTAATGCAGTTTTTGTGGTAAAATTAGGTGCCTCACCTGATATTTGAGTCGGCTTATACTCGAGTATATACGGTATTTGGACAACCAGAGAAAATTTGAACTGTACTTCTGAATGGGAAGGAAATTAGACTCTGAGAAAGACTGTGACAAGGCAAATGTGTGGTACTTAATAAAGTATAAAACCCTTGAAGAAAAGCAAGGCAGTCTGGAGATATTATCCCACTGACCTTCTGATGTACTAATAAATGCACGCTGACTTTCATCACCCTGCCTCTGTGATTGACTGTACCAGCATGTGGCTGGACACTTGATCCGGTTACAATATGAAAGATAAAACTATCAATTCACATTTTAGATACTAAAAAAATAATATAGGCCTTCTCTCCATTTCTCCGCCATCCTGAGGGTGGTTCTTTTCTATCTTTACAATGTCTTCTCATAAGACTTTCAGGACCAAGAGATTCCTGGCCAAGAAAAAAAAGCAGAAATGGCCTATTCCCAATGGATTCAAATGTAAACTAGCAATAAAAGTGAGTATAACGCTAAGAGAAGACACTGGAGAAAAACCACACTGGGTCTGTAAGGTGCCCACTCGTGATGGCACACGCACAGGTTCATTAGTGGTCTGTCATGCTGGGTTTAAGATTGGTCAATTGAACTTGTAATGGAAAATAACTGGTTTCTTCCTTGGTTTTATGCTTTTGCATCAAGAGGTTCACAAGAAATAATGTAAAGTCATTGGTTTGAAAAAGAAAGAAAAACAATTTAATGGATAGCCTTAGCCTCATATTTTTTATTTAAAAAAGTATTGCCAAAACTAAAGATTAATAAATTATTAAGCAACTAAAAGCAAAATTAAGAGCAACAAACATAAATTGAATGCTTAATGTATATTTAAGAGGCTCGCTTTTGGCAGATATTGCTAAAGTCATAATTCGCTCCTGACTTACATGTAATGGCATTTCAGCAAGATAAACTTTAAACAAAAATAAATGAGAGGGTTGAACTGAAAGAAATTGGAATGGGAATCAAGAAATAAACACCTTACTCCAGTTTTCTGAATTATTCTGCAAGTGTCCAGGCAAGTCATTTGCAATCCTCAGTTCTTTGACTTACTACCTTGTGAAGGAATGGAAACCAAGAATGTCTGTAAAGCGAGTTTCTCCAGGAAGCAAGCACCTTAAATATAAACAATGCTGTTGACAAAATAATAATAATTTATAAATTGTCACGGGTTCATGAGAGAAGGGGGAGCAGGGAGAGAGGGGGGAAAATGAGGAGCTGATACCAAGGGCTCAAGTAGAAAGCAAATGTTTTGAGAATGATGATAGCAACAAATGTACAAATGTGCTTGCCACAATGGATGGATGGATGGATTGTAGTAAGAGTTGTACCAGCCCCAATAAAATTATTTTTAAAATTTTTTTAAATAAATAAACAATGCTGTTACCTCAGTCTATTCAGAGGAAAAATGTCTTTGAAGGAGTAAACATAGGGCCTATATATAGAAACAGGATTAGAGCTTATAATTCTGAGCCCTGGGTTTACTAGGGGTTACAGTGGAAGCCCATCTATGAATCTCCACAAAAATTCAGCCTCCACATATTTTTCTTCTGGCCATTTAACCAGCACCATGACTAGATTCACCTTCAGAGTGTACTAGAGCGGAATTTGCTGGCACTCCCGTAGCCAGTCGCGGGTGACACTTCACAGCCCTTACGGCTTGTCTGGATGTGCCTTTAATGGAAATTGGGGTGCTAGGGTCCCATGATCATGAGTCATACCCAGCCTTGGTTGGTAGACTCTTAACCAATCTTGTGTGCCTTTTTATCTAAGATAAGTTGTGTGTCCCACTCATGGTCCCGGTTCCCACTTCTACAGTCCCACCTGTAACTGTGATGTATTAATCTGCTGCCAATCATGCTTCTTCTATGGCAGTTTCCTTTGCCCTCCCATGTCCTTTTTCAGTCTGAATCTCTGCAAACCCTAAAATGCCGTTATGACCTCTTTTTTTTTTTTATCATTTTATTGGGGGCTCATACAGCTCTTATCACAATCCACACATACATCTATTTTGTCAAGCACAATTGTGCATATGTTGCCATCATCATTTTCAAAATATTTTCTTTCTCTTTCTACTTGAGCCCAGGGTATCAGTTCTTTTTTTTTCCTTCCCTGCCCTTCCTCCCCCATGAACCCTTGACAATTGATATTTTTTTTTTTTCATGTCTTACACTGACCTATGTATGACATCTTTCTAATGGTGTCAATCCACACGATATCTTTGTTTTGTCTTTGTTCTGTTTAAGATTTAATGAATGTTCTCCGTACATTTTATTTGAGATTTGAGGTCTCTTTTGTACCCTAAAAAACTATGTTTAGGAAAAATGCATGGCAAAAATAATTTACCTTCAGGTTTTGTGGCCGAATGAATTTGTTGAGAAGTGAGGTCTGAATGAGTTCCCACCGACTCCCTGCAGTTCGCTCACCATTCTTTTAGGAAAAAGAAAAACCTATGAGAAATCATTCCCAAGATCTTTTGCATCATAAAATTGGACGTAAAAATGTTAAGTACTAAGTTATCTTGCAGAGACGAATATAAGAATCATTTTTGTTCTCACCTCATCTTCCACAGGGTACAAATTTTGTTCTGAACAAGGCATTTTAACATGTTTGTTATCCCACAAATCTTTATAATGTGTTGGAAAAGGCTTAGGAACGTCTCCTGCTCGCAAAAGATCCACCTGGAAGTTAGAGTAAAAAAATAAATAAAAATAAATGCATATAAATTTGGAACATCTTCTACAAAATGAACTAAAGTAGCTAGTACAAATGTTACATACATAGTACCAGGTCTTAGACAAGAAATTTCAAAAGTAATCTTCAGCTGTTTCCACCTCTTGCCTCCATTTAACCAGTTCCTAGGTCACACTGTGCATTCTATCTCCATCACCTCTAGGAAGAGGGCTCTCAACAACCTTTCCTGAATTACTATCAAAGCGTCCTATCCCCACCCCTACCTCCAAGTGCTCCACAGACAGTCAGCCCTATTAAACCCTTCTCCCTGCCTGAAACAACAGTAACTTTGTAAAGGTTTCCAATCCTTTTACGGATCCTCTCCGCAACTATGTATAATTTCATATTGATTCCCCATGATGTTCCACATGTTAATTTGCATACAGTTATCCAAACGTTAATTCTAGACAGGCTAGAAGGCTTACAATTTCTTTAAACATAGTAAAGTCACCTTTGTACCTACATGACTTTGTACACACCACAGTAAACAAATATTGCTATAAAACCACAGAAACCTTGAATAAAATATCTGAATGGGAAATTGTTTTTCAACATATCTTACATTTAACTTTATACACTTCTGAAGAATGTTTCCATCTCTTTAACTCTTCCCCAAAGAATTCTGCACTCTTCCATCAACACATCAAGACAGAAGTTTGGGCACACAAGTTCTGAGGGTTTATATCGTGTTCCTTTTAAATGTTCTTTGAATCGATGCCCTATATGCTATATTAAGATATGTATCATTCTGGCAAACCTGTGACTATTACTGTAAATTTACTTAACAATTACCCCCCATTGTTTATGTAAATAGCTTCCAGCCATGAAAGGATTGATTCTGTACAAGCGAAATATTCTGGTACAGTGATATGGAGTTAGTCTATGGTAGCTCAATGTCCCTCTCCCAATAAGGCTTCAAAAAATTAGTGACTGGGGCTAATCAAAGACAATTAAAAACAGAAGATCATTATGCCCCACAGGGATGTTTGATAAGACCATAAATTAACAAGAACGTTTTGAAAGGGAGCCAAAGGAAGATAAAAATTAAAAACAAACAAAATAACCCAAAGCTGTAAATTCAGGAATTGGTTTTGGGCTCCCACTAAATCCTAGCTAAATAAATCCATTTAACTATTAATCCTACTTAACTAAATCCAACTTAAGAACAATCAACGTTTGCATCATGGCCCTGCTGGATACTCACTCTCAGGAAGGAAACACAGAAGATATGGGTGCAAAATGTGGTGAAGAAATTATATGGTGCCTGGCTTTCAGATAAAATAGTGTCTGGTTCTTAAAGGCTTGTCTCCAAACAAGCAGCCGTCTAAATGAGATGTCAACTAGGTCCACATGGACAAAGCACACCATCATCAGTCACTGAAGGATTGTAAATCATATAATCTGAAGTCAAAGAAGGGATCAGTATCAGAGCCTAAATTGTGAGAATTTGGTTTGCTTAAGGCTGTGAATGACAGTGGTGCCCAAGATATAGTGGGAACTACATAAGAAATAAGCCTCCGGAGATCTCCCTCTATCCATAATTTGAGGAATGGGAGGAAAGTGGTTATTAAACAAAGTGCATTGGAGAGATGTGTATAGATCAAAGGGATTGCACAGTTAAAACCTTGTCAGTTGATCCCCCTCTCTGATGCACACTGGACCTGATCTGATTTTCAAAATTTTCTGTACTTTTTTGTGTGTTCATATGAGGGTTTATCTCAGATTTTATAAAAACTCATTTTATTGGGGCTGGTAGAACTCTTATAATAATCCATGCATACATCCATTGTGTCAAGCACATTTGTACATTTGTTGCCCTCATCATTCTCAAAGCATTTGCTTTCTACCTGAGCCCTTGTTACCAGCTCATTTTCCCCTCCCTCTCCACTCGCCCCACCCTCATGAACCCTTGATAATTTATAAATTATTATTGTTATATCTTACACTGTCCAACGTCTCCCTTCACTCACTTTTCTGTTGTCCATCCCCCAGAGAAGAGGTTATACGTAGATCCTTGTAATCAGTTCCACCTTTCTACCCCACGTTCCCTCCACCCTCCAGATATCACCACCCTCACCATTGGTCCTGAAGGGATCATTTGTCCTGAATTCCCTGTCTCCAGTTCCTATCTGTACCAGTGTACATCGTTTGGTCTACTCAGATTTGTAAGGTAAGATTGGGATCATGATAGTGGGGATGTGGGGGGAGGAAGCATTTAAGAACTAGAGGAAAGTTGTATGCTTTATTGTTGCTACACTGCACCCTGACTGGCTCGTCTCCTCCCCGCGACCCTTCTGTAAGGGGATGTCCTGTTGCCTACAGATGGGCTTTGGGTCCCCAATCTGCACTCCCCCCTCATTTACAATGATATGATTTTTTGTTCTTTGATGCCTGCTACCTGATTCCCTCAACACCTCGTGGTCACACAGGCTGGTGTGCTTCTTCCATGTGGGCTTGGTTGCTTCTAAGCTAGATGGCTGCTTGTTTACCTTCAAGCCTTTAAGACCCCAGACACTATCTTTTGATAGCCAGGCACCATCAGCTTTCTTCACCACATTTGCTTATGCACACATTTGTCTTCAGCGATTGTGTCAGGAAGGTGTGCATCATGGAATGCCAATTTAATAAAAGTATTCTTGCATTGAGGAAGTACTTGGATGGAGGCCCAATGTCCATCTGCTGCCTTAATATTAAACCTATAAATATATGCACATAGATCTATTTCCCCATCATCATATATGTTTACATATGTACATGCCTATATTTAGAGCTCTATAAATGTCCTTTGCCTCCTAGTTCTTTCCTCTATTTCCTTTTATTTTCCTCTTGTTCCACTATCATGCTCCGCCTTCATTTGAGTTTCAGTAATTCCTCTCAGTTACATTGCCCTTGATCAAGCCCTACCAGGTATCTCAGATTTTTTTGTCACTGGAGTCACCCTCTTTAAGATGTGTTATATATTTTTCCTGTTTTTCGGTATACAAAACCCAGGATTGATGAACCTACAGAGACAGCAAGTAGAATAATACGTTGGGGTGGAGCAGTGGGGGTGAAACGGAGATGTTAAGGGATCCAGGAAGGAAAAGAATGTTTGGAAACTGACTGTGGCAGCACTTGTACAATACTGCTTGATGTGACTGAACTCTGGAATGATATGATAATGTATTAATTTCCAATAAAAATTTTTTTTTAAAAAAGAATAAACTTTGAATAATGCAAACTAAATAAATGTTCTTTGCGTTCTGGAAACAAAACAATCTTCAAGGAATAAAATCAAGGCTTAGGGTAGACAGGGCAAGGTCTCCCAATGAAACTGTTCAAAGATATCTCTTGATAACAAAGAAAAATTAGCAAGTGAGTCTTCAATGTAACTTTTTCTGGCCTTTTTCTCACCAATGCTTTTTGCAATTTTCTTGAAACTTCTTCCTACTAAGCCTCCAGCTTGTTCTGTGCCCTTGGAAAAAATTCTATGAAGATTATCTTAGATTCCAAAAAAGTCATCATAATTGTCCGATCTGACTTCTGCCTTAACATTAAAAGGCCCAGACCTCCTAGGAAGCCATTGTTTTCATTGGTTCTTCTTTTGAAGGTACCCTAAACGAGACTAAGACAAGTGTATTACTGTGAGACCTTGTCTGCAGCCATCCATTGATTGTAGAAGCATGTTTAAACAGGTTTGGTTCAGAATATGAACCAGACCACCCAGTGACAATACTTTTTGACTTACTTTTATATTGTTGTCTCTTCTCTTTTCAATTCTATTAATTACCATGCTCCCTGATCCTTTACCTGATCCTTTACACAACGATTGTAATAACCCTCACAGATTAGCTCAATTTTCATTTCCTTTCTAAAGTTTTGGGATCTTTTTCTTATAATAAGTGTATTATGCTTAAATTCTAGAGCAATCCGTTTGTATTAGGCTGCAGTCGACAGTAGTCACCCTAACTTCATTTTGAATTTGATATTAATTCAGATACTGTTGGAGATGTTTACGTTACTGTCCCTATGCTTGCTGACCATTAAACCAGTAATGAGACTATTTTAAGGAAAGCCTAGGGAGGAACACTTTGCCCTTAGGAAGAGTGTAGTTAAAAGTTGATTAACTAGGGCTTCCAGCAAGGTGGAAAACTATGAGGACAGGCTGACCAGACTCTCAACTGCTAAGGCACAAGAGTTCAAAAGAAGCAGATAATCCTATAACTCTGAGATTCAGAGGAAAGGATGGAGAAGATTGAAAGAAAAGAAAAAAACCACCAGCAAAGGGAGACAAAAGGAATGGTTTAGACACAGCACAACTATTTTAAATTTCCACAAACATAACTGGTTGCTTAGCCAGCACTGCCCCAGAGGCTGCTGACCAGAAAGTTATGATCATACCTTGGTTCTCTAAAAAATTAGTAGAATAAAATTCCCAAGTCCAGAAACTAAAGATGCTAGGATTCTTCCATATAACATTCCAAAAGAAATCAACCTTGAAGTAAAATTGAACTGGCCTTGAAGAAAAAATGCCTCCTTCTCTGAGCTAAAGACAAAACTGATAGCTGCAGTAGGAACTTTTGTTAGGAAAAAAAAAACTTAAGAGCCATAATTAAAGAAGCTTTCCAAATATCACTGTCCTTGGAAATGAAAATGTGCAGAGGTGACTATTACCTTTCACTTAGTAATTTATTAAGTAAGCCGCAGGGTACAGCTTTGGGTCAGCATTAGGAAACAATTTAGGATTAGAAACAGGAAGCCCACAAACCAAGTATCCCTCCTTCAGGGCAAGATGGTGTTTTCAGCCCCTCTTTTCAGCAGAGGCCTCCTCTTAGCTCCCTCGAGTCAGGTCTTCTCTGAACTCCCTCAAGAGAAGCTCTTCTTGGCTCCCTCTAGATCTGCTCCTTTTGGCTTTGCCATTTGTTGCCAGCAGCTCTGGTGCCGGACCCCTCCTAGAACTGTTGCTATC